TCATTCACTTCTGTAAGTGACACAGTTTTGTTTTTACGACAGCACAGAGTAACTAAATACAGCCACCTTTGTGGCAAGAGATTTATGTCTTCCTTGGCCACAAACGTAAATCATCCATCTCTATGGTAACAAAGATTTACGAGTACAGTTCATTGAGTAGGAAACTTTTTGTTAAAGATATACTTGAAAGAGACCATACACAAATTAAACAAATTATTGGCTAAACCACGTGCTGTAAGTAGCGGTATAGAGTATGGTAAATCGTTAAAGTTTGCATTTGAAAACTTTCAGGATTTAAGAAAACTAAATTAAAAGAAATCCATAATGAGTATTTCTTTCCTACTATATTTGGCAATTGCCCCAAATTTGTGATATTGACGAAGATTTGAATCTTGTTACATTTCCAAGCATTTTTGATTTTATATGTGGCACATCAATATAAAGTTACTTGGCTAGTCAATTTGTTTTTTTAAATATCATTTTATGAACCACCTTGCTCAATTATAATTTGGTTATTAATCTATTTTCTAACAAATATCGATTCGTTTAAATTTAGGAATTCTTTTCACAAAATCGTACAGTTAAAAATAAGGCGTATAAATGGAATGAATTAAGAACAAAAATATATGTTATAAAAATGCAAATATGAAAAAAAAAGAATGTTAAAAATTGGTCAGGCTTAAAAGACTTACACAAGTAACAGGAAACTACTCTTTTCTGAGCAATTTACTAGTAATGGTCACATTATCTCTACTGTGGTTACACATAGTTACGACTTTCTCAAACAAAAGCAGAAACTATAAAACTGTGTTTACATACAGTTTTAACAAAATGTGACCTTTGTAACCTTTTGTGGGGCAATTTAAACTAAATTTAGATTGAAAACAAACCTTGAAAAAAAATATGAAGGCCATTTGTTGTTTCTGATTTGGGGGTGGGGGTGGGGGGGGGCACACATTTAAGTTGTCTACTGTCAAGGTCACAGGAAGCCATACATCATAGAATATCGCCTAGTGCAAGCACACAACTGACCTTCAAAGGACACGTTTTTGTTTTTTAGGAATAATAACCTGAGCAGCAAAAAAACCTAAAAGGTGTGCGAACACATGTTACCACCTGCTAAAAATGCATTTTTCGCATCAGTTCACTTTGTGTTAAAAAAAATGTAACAGTTTAATTTGAGGAATACTTTAACACCTACCAGAACAATAGCTTCATTTTATGTAAACGTTTCTTAAAAAACAATCACATTTTTTTCAAACTTGCATTTCCATTTTCTAGTTTTAATGAAACTTGACTAAACTAAACACAAAGCTCTGTAAATCAAAACATAAACTCAAATAAACACATTTTTCCAGTCCCTTCTACAAGTGTAAGACTTTTTTCCACCACATACCTCTGTAAAGCGAACATTCTTGGTCCTTTGCTGTTCTGTTTAGACAGGTTAGTTTCACAGCATAATTATTTCAAAATCTCTTAAAATATGATTACAATTATTTCATATTCTCTCTATACTTATGAACACACTGATTAAATTTCTCCATAAAAATTTGATAAAAAGTTACAATTCTTTTAAAAGAGAAAAAAAATCAAAACGTGGCATTGGGTTTATTTCAAGTTAAAGGACATTATAGTTAAGTCTATTTCACAAAACAAATAATATTAAACTAAGAGCGGATTGCCGCGATTAAGAGGATTGACAGATCAATAGAAAGATATTTCAGCTATATTATTTAGCCTTTTTCCCCTCAAATTCACACCTTAAATTATAAAATTCGATTAAAATATGAAATTTTATGAATTTTTCAGATACTAAGGGTATGTTTATTCATTAGTACAACTAAAACTAACCATTCAACATGTAGTATATGAAAATTACATTTTTTTGCTAAAGGTGTTATAAGCTGGTGGCTTAATAAATAAAATAATTCACACTCACCATGGGGAATTATTGGCCACAGCAAAAATAAAACATGTCTACACTATTTTTTCCAACCAACTAATTATTTTATTTTCACTTTTAGTAATTTAAATTGAACCCTGGAAGGCATAATCGCGACTGATGAAAATAACGCAAATGGTATCAGTCTTTGATCTATACATGACCTAAAACAAACCAAAATGCACTTAAACGACATCAGTAATATGCACTAGCAGCTACCGGTTTGCAAAGTAGTTATTCACGTCAGAACTGAAGAAATGCATGATCTTTTGCCAATTTTACTTTGACCTGTTCAAGAGTACTCTCACGGTGATTGAAATAAATAAAATTAATGTAATTCCAAAAGTATGACTGCAAACACAGTTCTCCGAATCGTGGTGTGTGTAGGACCCTAATTGTTAAATGGCCTTTTATTCCTAATTAGAAGCCTCTCTATTGTGGAGTGATAAGAATGTTGACCAATAGTTTCTTCATCTGACAAATATTACCTCATTGGAGTTTTAAATTTTTTGATAAAAAAATATAACACTGTAAAATTTTCATAACTAAAAGTTAAATGCAAGGAGAAATACGCTTAGGCAAATTAGCCAAACAATCCTGAGAACGATAAATCGCCATGGCAATTACGCAAAAACTATGTATGCACATACATCATCAAAACGTCAAAATTAACAGCAGTAACATTTGTATTTACCCAAACCTGTCAACAAATTTGTAGTCGTAATTTCTCATAAATTTTTACAACAAACCATTTCCAAAAATAACGATTTCAGTAGTTTTTATAACCTGCCAAATAATGGCAAGGTACACTAGCAACATATAATATGAGGTTACTAAGGTAAAATAAATTGACATGCAAATGTGAATTTTAATTTAAAAAAAAAAAAAACATTTTTGACAAATTTTAGGTACATTTTAAGTACAAATATAAGAAAGATTTGCATTTATGATTTGTTTTTATTTTATTTACAGCTGAATTTAAGCAGTTTTAAGTTGTATGGTGTTTTTGTAGTTGCAGTGGACAAAAACTCATAATTCACAATGCTGACAAGCTGTCAGGGTTTTTTTCTCCTTGAAAATATTTTATGTTTAATTAAAAACCTCCATCACCCACAGCAAGCCTAGTCTATCCGCCATGATGTCTATGATATCTAATGGTTAATGTAAGTTTATTCAGACAGTCCGGGCATAAACTAACTGAGAAATTCAACACTCAAGACTTCAGGAATTGTCAGCAGAAATAAGATAAACTCTCTAACCCGGCAGCCACTAATTGAAAATGAGAGTGTAATTTATGTGAGTGATCAAACACTGTAAGTACTGTCACAAACTGCAAAGGGCAATTACCAGTCCTGACAAGATGCTGGTTGAATTTTACTATTCAGACACGTAATTGTTTTGCTTGGTCATTTGCAAAATCAAAGACTAAGGTTTGGAAAGAAAGAAAAAAAACATCTATTCTATCTATCAGGTAAAACCGATTTTTTTTGTGCAAAAATTAACGTTGATTGTAGAAAAATGTGTGTGAAGGTATGTTAGAGTTACAGCATTCAGAATGCAGTGCCCCCAAAGGACAAAAAAAAAATCTTTGAATGTTACAACTTATAGGGAGGTTGTCAAATAACAACACAGTGACAGTGAGGAAATCCAATCCAAAGCAAATTGGTGTGTTTTCTACCCTTAACCAAACAGCTGGGGATATATATATTTTACATGTAGTACTGTCTCTTTTTAATCTTTTTTTTTTTAAATTGACTTCCAGCAACACTTTATGATTCACATTTAATTTTTCTCACATCTAAAATTAGATGCAGCTATAAGCAGAGAGTCAGTACAAATCACTGACACATGGAATGCTGAAGGTGGCAGTGTCAAATGAAAATAGATTCCAAGTGTTGAAACACAATGTCTTTAGCAAAACATCTCTCCAGAGAAAAAATGGGACTGAAACAGTAAAAATGTAAATATACTGCGTATATAGTCGTTGTTTTTAAAGTACAAAAATATATAGCATTGAAATATTAATATTATTGTTGCTGCTGTTAAAATTCAAATGAAAACATGTGACCAATGAACTTTCGTGTCCCAAAAGACAATAAAATGCTGTCCACGCACGTAATTGCGCCATAAACACTAACAAGCTGACATTTGTAGAGTTATTGGTAATTTTAAAGTTGCTAGTCTGTCCACGCGATACAGAACCGAGAAAGCTGCAGTGTTCTAAAGCTTCACACAGTGAACATGAAGCCAACACACATTGATAAAAACGTTGATCAGTCGTGTGACTGCTTTAGTCAATATATTTCAGAAAATTCGCGTAAAATTGTTATACTACATGAATATGTGACCATATATTCGGTCAGTCTATGGGTTATATGTTTTTTTTGTGGAATATCGAACAAGACAGAATGAATGACCTCACAAGTTTTAAGCATCGATCGTTGAGAAGACAACACAATGACCTCTCGTTTTTTGACAATCTACTCATAGACGGGGATATCCCTGTTTTACGGCCTCTCCACTTTCATAATATCCTTAAGACATACGCTTTAAAATATATTTCTCGACGTGAAGCGGTTTAATTCCTCTCTGTCAGTCGAGGAAATCCCCGCTTGTGTGAATTGGTGAACGATAGAGTCAGTGAGGTGTTTTTTTGAATGCAACAACCAAAGTCGTTAAACAAACATGTTTTGAACACAGTTGGCTTCCCAGCGCAGACATGCAGGTCAAGTTCGGGCGATTTTCAGACAATTTTACGTCAACGACGGTCTTTGTCGACGACGTTGTATTTCCTTAGATCGACGATTTAACCCCTCGTTGACCTGGTGAAATAGGAAACTGCGATGACTGATTCTAGGGAAAGCCAATCTGGGGAAAATTTCAAACGATCACTGCTTGGGGCTCGGTTTGAATACAAATCTTAACACTTGTAACGTACATGCAGTGTACAATAGGCGCAACGTCAGTAAAAACACCACACAAAACACCAAAGTTACCGGCAAATTGACTAATAATACCGTCATAATCGAAACAGAAATAAACTAGCAGAAACACCTACCATACTGGAGGGGACCATGGAACCATTTGGGGGGTAGGGGACGTGCAGATCGCCATGAAGTATAGGTATAGATCCAAAGCCCGGGGTCTTTGTCGCTGTATCAGTCTTGCTTCCTGTAGAAAAATATAACCGGGTCACCCGTGAGATCATTTCTAACGCCATGTTTTCAAATAACTGGACAGCACAAAACCGCGAATTAATTCACACCGGAACTCTACACATAACATGGGCCAAAATTTAGCCTAATCATGGCCTGCTAATACGATTGAGTAAAGTTTGAAGGTTTGAGTATGTACGTTACCTTCAACTGCTGGGGGAACTTTCTTCGAACCCCGGTCTTTCGACGAGCCTCCATAGTTTTGACCCGCGACGAGCTGCTTGTTACCCTATTTGAAAGAACACACAGAAATCAGCTACCAGCTAAATTCGCAAATCCCAAATGCCGACGCTCGTAAGAATTTCACGCACCTCCGAGGCAGAGTTTGACTGTGAACTTTCTCCTTCGTTCACTAGACTTGATTTGATATCGTTGAGGTCTGTCGAATCCGACACGCTCTCGCTCGACTTTTCTTCCTGTTCCCCTTCGTCTTTGAACGGAATAATTTCGTCGTTTGCCCCCAGATCGTCCCCGCCATCGCTGGGCTGCTGAGGCATCGTAACTCCGTGGGATCTAGCCGTGGTTAGGCTTCGGTTTTTCGACAAAAATACTCAGTGTATATATATATATTCCACTCAGTAGTCCAGCACGTTGAAACCGACTACAGTTCTAACATAACTTGTGTACAGACTCGGCGGCGACTGGATCACATCAAAAGCGTCACCGCGCCCTTGATTGACAGCCTACTTGACAGGATGTCAAACAGTCGACCAATCAGCTCGCGTGAATAGAACCTGACGTAATAATTAGGTATTCATATTATTTAATTGTGTACGTTCTTTGCATTCCTGTCAACAAGAAATATTATAATTTTTTTTGAAAGAAAAAAATAGCAAAGTGGCAGTGGTAGGCAACAAAGGGTGTAATGTAAAGGAATGGTGTTCCCTATCAAGTCATTGTGTTACTCGGCTAATTAACAAAACAAACCTATTTCCCGCGCAAATTGAATAAAAGTCGCCACCAAAAGTGCTCGACACTACAGTATGAATAAGTAAGCTGAAAAACTGAACGCGTGTTCCTAAGTCATTCGTTGCAGTCAGTCAGGTTATTACCATTTGTGATCAAGTTCCACAATTACGATAGTAACTAAAATATATTAAAAACAAAAACAAATGCGCTGTCCTGTACGATATTTGATGTTTTCTGTGTATTTCGAGCTTAGCGATAGCACACCCAACGCGCTCGTATAGGTGGCGTATAAACGTTGCGTTGGAAATATAACAATACATTGTAATGTTATGAATAATAAATTATACTGAATATGGAGAACAACCCAGAAATGGTTGGAGGTCAAGGTTCACCGCATCGCGGCTGTGATGTCATTCAGTAATAAATAGCGCCACAACCGTCACCACTCACCCGGTTCAGTCTATACGGTGCTATACCAGACACTTAGGATATTATAGTTCCGGTACAGCAAATTATTTTTCAGGTTCCTGTCATTATTTTTTTTTAACTACCGAAGTTACTGTTGATTTATAGAAAACAGTTGATGTTTTTTTGTGTACGTAATTTGAATGATATATAAAGGAAACAAAATAATAATAAACAACAAACAGCTGGATATAGTCGTTGCCTTTTCACTATGAATTTACAAATTATTTTCAGCTTTTAGAAGACTATAAATTTAAAACTTTGGTGTTTCTTTTCCTTTTATTTTTTTTTAATCAAGGCCACAGCTTCCCTAATTATCTCGGGCTATCGTGAACACTACTGTCTTTTCAATTACCGCTCATTGTTGTTCGCTCGTTTTTATGCTAATTTTACGTACTTGGGCAATTTGAAATTCACAACTTTTTAACGTGTTTTTTTTTAACGAGCTCTTTATACGTGGGTTGGATTCGATTCATTCGTGTTTGGCACGCCCTGACATAAACACTTTGGCGTTCAATCCCCCCCCCACTCCCTATATATAGGGGGGCTATGCTTGTTCCCTCATTTATTTGACCCCCCTATCTAGGGAAAAGAAGAAAACTTAACCCCCCCCCCTTTCACGGGCTTTTCCGATGAATTTCACCCCCTATCTAGGGAACTTTTCAGTCTAGAACTCCTTTTAAACCCCCCTTTTTTGTATATCTCGGGAAGTGTTTTGAAATACATCCCCTATTTTGAGAATCTCGGGAAAACAAGCAAAAAATACCCCCTTTTCTACGATTTTCTCGGGAAAATGTTCCCGAGACAGATCGTCAAAAAGTACCCTCTTTCCCGAGAAAATGGGAACGCGCATGCGGCCCCTATGGATCCTGAGTGGGGGGGGGGCGTTCAATCCATTCTCGTAGTCCGAGCGCTTGTATTATAATTCAGAACAGGCGCAATGGCATTTAATGTCAGTGAACTCGTTGTATACGTCGTATGGGACCCACATAGAACACGACGCGGCGTGACACCTGTGGCGTGTTAGGAATTCCCGTTTTTCGTCTACTGAAATGCCGGCCTCCGCAACGTCCGAACTAAATCTCTAGTTACTCTCCAACAACGGGCGCGTCGTGATAGCCTGGCAGTTCGTATTGCCTGATGTGCCATTCACAGTGACATTTCCCAATGTCACAAATGGGAACCAAAATAATAACACGTCTCCCAATTTCCATGATCCACCCAAGGCATATGTTTTACTCCCTGCTGGAATGTATAAGTACATAGATCATACTATATTTCCGCTGCCAAGTTAAAGTTGCAGTCGGTGTAATACAAAGCTACTATTTATTTAATTAATAAACGAAGCCGCATTCGTTTTGCAACATGGCACTACCGCGGTGCATCTTATACCACTGGCGCACGTGATCTTACTATAGGTATCTCCACACGGTTAGGTGACCGTGATGTCCACGATCTTACCATGGAACTACCATGGAGGTAAAAAGAGCCATCCATGGAACTACGAACCACTGATCTCACTGACTAGACGCGAACAATAGAGGGAAACGCCCAGAATAGAACGACAAATGAATGTTGATCAGACCCTAACTCGTCACTGTCTTTCACAGCAGGAAGTTGTATTATGCATAATAATGAGTGAGACGCACCATTTTGTATGGCGTCATTACCCGGGACTGGACGATTTTGTAAGAGAGGAAATTGCCGTTAGCAAAACTAGTGACTGTATAATGTGAAATAATGTCAAAAACCAAATTATGTTCGCCCATAAGTAAATAAATTATACCCAAAAAAATGAATTCCTCCAGCTTCCTTGTTTTCAAATAGGTATCCCATCCAATGAAATAATGTTAAAAACCAAATTATCGTCGCCCATAAGTAAATAAATTATTCACCCCCTAAAAATGAATTCCTCCAGCTTCCTTGTTTTCAAATACGTATACCATCCAATGAAATAATGTCAAAAAACCAAATTATCGTCGCCCATATCTAAATAAATTATTTACCCCCCCCCCCCAATGAATTACTCCAGCTTCCTTGTTTTCAAATAGGTATCCCATCCAATGAAATAATGTCAAAAAACCAAATTATCGTCGCCCATAAGTAAATAAATTATTCACCCCCTAAAAATGAATTCATCCAGCTTCCTTGTTTTCAAATAGGTATCCCATCCAATGAAATAATGTCAAAAAACCAAATTATCGTCACCAAAAAGTGAATAAATTATACCCAAAAAATGAATTCATCCAGCTTCCTTGTTTTCAAATAGGTATACCATCCAATGAAATAATGTCAAAAAACAACATTATCGTCGCCCATAAGTAAATAAATTATTCATCCCCTAAAATGAATTCATCCAGCTTTCTTGTTTTCAAATAGGTATCCCATCCAATGAAATAATGTCAAAAAACTAAATTATCGTCACCAAAAAGTGAATAAATTATTTACCAAAAAAAATGAATTACTCCAGCTTCCTAGTTTTCAAATAGGTATCCCTTCAGCAGATAGTTTGCGAGCTAAGATACTGTAGTTTGCGAGCTAAAGATGATTCATTCCAACTTTTTCCAAAATCGTGACTAAGTTCTGGAACCAATGATCATGTCTATTTGGTCTAAAATGCGGCACCTATAGCGATCGAATAGTGTGCATCACTATGATCACTGTGTTGATTTACCGCTGATTTTCTGAATAAAAATCACCATCTGCTCTTTTTTAGTTGTTTCATGACGGTACGACTTGTAAGTATAAGTCGAAGGCCATAATCTCACATCCCTGTTCCGGCAAAGTCAGAAAACGGAGACTAATAATTCCACCCCACCATGTATGTGCGCGATAGTCCGTTCATACGTCTTCCCGCACCTGCCTCTCGGACATGGCTGGACCGATGACGTGCGAACTTCATATATGCACCGTACATTTTGGGATCTGATACAAGATGGCCGAATGACAGCCATTTCAGTGATAGAAATTCATCAAAATTAAGCAATTCGAAACCAGAGCTCGGTCACGCATAGACAAATGTTGGTGTGCACTCTGAATATAAATGATACCTTGGTACATGTCATATTGTTTTACGATGAGACTAAAAATGACTGACTGGTTGTAAATTTGTTTTAGCGAATGCTGTTCCAGAGACACCGTGCTTTCACTAATCACGTTAAAAGACGGCGGTCGTCTCGCCACGCATGCAGACCAATGATTACACAATGAGACGTTACCAAATTTTAATGAGATTATTCCTTTGGTGATTGGAAGGTGTCGTCGACGATACTTAGTGCACGTCGCTCCCATGTCAAAGTTCGTACTCGTGATATCTATTAGAAGAGCGCATTGAGTCGTGGGAAAATCAATGTTTATCAACACAAATGTCACCCTGTAAACCTTCCAAATACGTCATATTTCACGCATATGCCCGTGCATTTGTTTGACGATCTAATTGAAGATTTAAAGCAAAAAGTACATCAAAAGCAAGCATTTCCACCATTCCAGAACCAGCTCAAATCAAACTTTACACATAATTTATACCACATCAATTTTTGAATCAAATTGACCGACTTTAGTTTGTTGCGCGACGGGGGCTGTGTCATGTCATTGACTTGTCTTATATTGTTTGTATGGCGTAATTATTTTTCATTCTTTTGTTTTAAATTGTTCTTGCTTATATTTAGCTGTACGTGTTGGTCTGTGTGTCCCCTGACTTGCGTGACCCACTAACTTGCTCGCCTCGTATAGGTGTGGATCCGCTACCTACCTGACACGTGGCTAACACAGTTTAAAATATGGCCGTAAGTTTTCTGCATATACACAGAAAAGTAAAAAAAGACATTTTTTATGAATATACTTTGTTGTGAACACAACTATATTCATTCATTCGAATCCAAACAAGAAGATTGGTTCAGTTTTGGTCAACTCGGCTCAAGGGTGGACGAGCATGCGCTTTACTAAAATAGTGTGTCTGGTATTGGAGCAAGTCGTTTTCCTTCCCAGAAATCATTGCGGCCAATACACCGAAAGTATATACGTAGAAATATAACTCTGCCTGGGAGATTGGGAGCGAGTATGATAAATGTGGATTCATGTTTAGCACTAAATTCATTAACACACCTATCCTACGTTTTGATTGAGTCCCCCCCCTCCCGATTTGGCTAGGCAGACACGGTCGCCCTATCTCATTTCACAAAACACGTGCGCATCAATTAGACAGAAATTAGGAACGGCATATTTGTCAGTACACGAGCTCATACAATACGTGTAAGT